ACATAAGTGGTGGGTGGAGATGAGAGTTGGGACTAGGAGGACACGGGTCCCAGGCTCAGGCCTGCAGTGGCATTGCTGGGACCCTGCAGCTCCCCCTCCGGCCGGTGCGGGAGAGGTCACCGCGCATCTCCCTGGTGATAACAGGGAAGGCACTGGAGCTGGCCACGGCTCCCCCAGCCTCTGCTCAGCTCGGGGTGGGGGTGGTGGCCGGCTTGTCTGCAGGGAACCCTTGGGGTTGGTTCCTGCCACTGACTGCATGTCCCTGGGCTGTTGGTTCGCCCCGCCCACCGCCCAGGACCTGCACCGCCCTGGCTTGCCTGCCCTCCTGGGCTGGCCCTGCTATGATGCTACTAAAGCCTGCCCCTGGCTTGGGGCATGTGTTAGAGTTCTCCAGAGAAGTACAACCAACAGGCGATACACACACGCACACACACACATGCACGCACGCACGCACATATGCAAAGACAGAGAGAAATCTGTACTGGTGCAGCAGCTGGCAAGTCTGCGGTCAGCAGGGCAGGATGGCAGGCTGGAGACCCAGGGGAAAGTTGGTGCTGTGTTCTTGAGCCCAAAGGCAGCCTGTAGGTAGAACTGCTTTCTCTTCAGGCGGCCTCAGTCTTTGTCTCTTAGGGCCTTCAGCTGGTTGAACAAGGCCCCCCAAATCATGAAGAGTAATCTGCTTACCCAAAGCCCACCGGTTTAAGAGTTAACATCTTTAAGAAATATCTTCACAGCAACATTCAGACTTGTGTTTGATCACATAACCAGGTGCCATGGCCTAGCCAAGTTGACACATAAAATTAGCCATCACAAGACAGTTGTGGCTTCTGGAGACACCTTGGGCCTCTCCGCCTGCTCTTCCACAGGTCTGCCCATCCAATGTTCCAGAACAATGGACAAGCATCCCTTTGGTCTTCTCTTTCCAGGCCAAGCCCCATCCCTCAGGGCCTGTCTATTCATACAACCGATGGCCAAAGTCCCTACTGGCCTGATCACTCAGTCAATCAATGCCCAGTTTTGGTCAGCCTCCCACAAAGCAGACCCCAAGGCAAGGATGGGGTGTTAATGAAGTACCCCAGGAGAAATGGGGAGGGAGTGGGAGTAGCAGGCCAGGGAGGGGGCAGAAAAGGGGCTTTCCAGCAAAGTCCCAGGCTCAGCCTGGAGTGCGAGTTACCCCTGGAGTTGGTTCTCCAGGGACCTGGGCTTTCCCACTCCTGCCCAGGACATCATTGGCTACAGGCTGCCCTGGGGCTGGAGTCCGGGCATAAACTCACAGGTGCTTCCACCTCTCTGCCCACACAGCCGATGAAGCTCCAGTCTGCCAGAGAGTGCCGGTGCTGGGAGCTGGAAGGGCAGATCAGTAAGAGGGACAGGAGGAGATCTGGGTGAAAACCAACAGTGTCCACCATAGCGCCCGCCCCAGCCCGGTGCCCCAGTGAGGTGCGACCCCATGGGGCCGGGAGACTGGCACTCAGCTGAGGTTTCTGGAGGGCAGGAGCTGTTTGGGCTCTTTTTCACCACTGCGCTGGCATGCGTGCGCTGCCCGGTGCTCTGCCGGGGCTGGGCCATATTTTCTAGAACTATTCGGGAAATTAACAAAGGAAGGAACAAAAAATACCAATCAGACATCTGCACAGGAAATGGATACCGTTGTGATTTTATAGGTGGAAGGGAATCCAGTAGAATTTAATATAGGGAATTAGGCAATTATAAACCTTTTGGAAGCACTGGGAACACGGTTGGACTAGGCCTGTAGGAATGACTTTCAGAAACACTGCAGAACTGGCCTGCCAGAAGACCTGCTACTTCCACCACTCTCTGGAAAATAGGAAATTAAGAGGTGGCCCATGGAACCATTGGCTTCAAGAACACATTGCTATGGTTGTGATTCAGGAATTAGAAAGTCACAACCATGAACTATGAAAACGCCTAGCTACTCAGGAAGCTGCAAATGGCACACTGGGACATCTCGGTGGAAAGACCCACATCTCCACTACACTACTCGAAAGCAACTGGAAGATGGCTTCTGCCTCACTTTCTTCCTTGCAAATTACTTCTAATAGTGCATTCTAATTCCCATCCAGAATACTAGCTTCAAGGGTGTTTGGAAAAAGTAGTTTCAGCTTTCCAGTTTGTGTGCACAGCCTGGCATTTTATGACCTTTGTCCCTTGTTACCAAAGTGTTTCTTTATGATAAGCGTGTCGTCCACAAGGAAGTGCAGATTTTTTTTTCTCCAAAACCTGCCCCAGGGTAAACTGTGTGGGGTTGTTTGGATGCAACCAAAGACTTGTGTTGGAGTCTCTGGAAGAGATATGCCAGGATTTGCCATGGGAGTAATAAAAATAAGCAGAAATGTGCAGAGTATTTCGATAGCTTCTTATCTCTAGAAGGTGCAGCTTTTCAGTACCTCAAAGGTTGACCATGTCTTCTATGTTATGTGCTGAGAATACAGAGATGAGTAAGACAAGTTTCCGCCCTTCATTGGGCTCATAGGCAGGTGGGAAACAGACATATTGAGAGAGACTTACATTAGAGTCTGATAAGTGTGGCTGGTTGGTTTTAGGGACCTTTTGGAGTATTTAAAATGGAAATGGGATGACAAAACTATTAAGAGGCAGTATAACATAGTGGCAAAAAATTTGGACTCTAGATTCCCATCTTGGTTTTGTCACTGACTAGCTGTGACTTGGGGAAAATTACTTAACCTCTCTTTGCCTCAGTTTCCCCACTTGTTGAATGGGGAGAATAAAGAGCACCTGTGGCATAAGGGCAGTTATGAATATTAATAATAAAGTGCTTAGTATAGTATTTGGCACAACATATCCATTTGGCATTAACTGATAGCAAATTCTCACTCTGTGAGCAAATGTGAAAAATGCGAACCCTCGAGCATTTTAAATGTTAATCAATAAATGCATCATTCTGAGCCAGCAGCGAAGTGGATAGTAAACTGTACTTGTCATAACTGCCACGAGGTGGTGTCCCTGCTGCTGTGGCTCAATAACAACATGGGTAGGAAGCCAGTTCTCATTCCTGCCAGGTCCTCAGGAGGGGCACTTCCATGAGATGTGCCCACTGTCCCTTGCATAGGCCAGGTGTTACCTAGGCAGGAGGGCACAGGGGAGGAGGGCCAGGTTTGGGTCAGGGAGCTGGTGGTGGCAGAGAACAGAATCCTACTCAGACACAGGCCAGTGGGAAGGAGATTCCTGCTGGACTCTCCTGACAGTGAGGGGCAGAAGCCATCTGAGAAAGTCTCAGGCTCTCTCCCCGGAGCCCCTGGCCTTGTGTCTGCTGCCCACCTGCTGCATTCTCCCGCCTGGGCTCCTTTGCTCCTCACTACCTGGGCCGACCACAGCACCAGCTCCATCAGGCCCACTGTAGCCCTTCCCAGCCTGGGTCTCCCTTCGGTGCTCAGGGGAGACTTTGGCAGGCTCAGGCTGGGCCAGGGATTAGCCCCGGCGGGCTAGGGGCCACGACCCATTCAATCAATGGGTTGTTGGGGGTGCGGAGGATGCAGGAAATATACACATGGCCATTAAGGCCCAGCTGGCCTTTAGCTGAAGGAGGAGGTTGTGGTAGAAATGTCCAGGTCATAAGGCTTCATATGGGAGGTGACGTTCTCCCAGAATCTTAAAGATACTCAAGAGAGGGGAGTGTTACCGGCAGAAGAACTACAGGTGCTCCCAAAGACAGCTAGTGAGGGTGCCAGAGTCTGGGCCTTGGGGAAATAAAAGATGCCTGGGATGAACGGAGCGCGAGGTTCACAGGGAAGGGGACAGAGGTTAGGTCACGGGGAGTGCTTGCTTGCCTCTGAGGAACTCAGGCTAAAATCCTGAAATCAGTAGAACACACTGAAAGATTTTAAGCATGGAGGAGCCATGATCAGACCGGCCCTTTAGAAGGGTCCCTGCACAGAGCGGTGGGTGATGTATTGGAGGGAGCTGAGGTCAGAGGCGGAGCCCCAGTTTGGAGACTTCTGGACTCCTTCCGAGGAGAGAGATGAGGGTAGGATCGCACACACCTGAGGCTGAATCTCGGCTCCCCCGATATGTAGCTGTGTGACTTTGACCAAGTTACTTACCGTCTCTGAGTTTTACCCCCAGAGGGGCCAGACATATAGCAGGAGCTCAGCCCATATTTGTCAAATGATGGGAAGTCAAGAACCCATCAGAACTTATGACCAGATTGAAAGCAAAACACCATGCCTAGGCCAGCAGAGGCGCTCCTGATACGGAAGGTGTGAGCCTGGCGGGCATCTCAGGACTCCCCAGATCCCAGGCCTTGCCCGCCCAGGCAGGGGCTTCCTCTTGCCCATCTCTCTCTTCCCTTTGGAACAAGAAATCTTCAGATCCAATGGGAAGGGAATTTTATTAATTTTCTGAGGTCCTGAGGCATTAGAGGGACCCTGGTTGAAGCCACTTAGATGAGGAGGCTGAGGCTGGCAATGGCCTGACACTGCCGTGGGGACAAAGGGACATAGCTTGACTGGCTGCAAGAACCATGGGGGAGGTCGGTAGCCTGCCCCATCCACTTCAGTGTCTATGAGACCTCCCCGAAGTAGGGACAGCAGAGGCCCCTGTGCCAGGGAGAAGAGGGGGTGATCTGGAGTCCACTGCCTCACGGGTGCCCCCACCAGTGAGAGTGCCTGTTTCTTGGTGGGTAGGAGGGCCCTGCGCACATGAGCGGGTGCTCCGCATAGAGGTGGAGAGGCCAGAGGGGGAAGAGGCTCTCAATTCTCGGTAGGCTGCTGCATCCTTGATCCTCCTATGCAGACCCAAACCCTTAGGCAGGTGCTGAGAGAGAGTTCAGCCCAGCGGGTCGCGAGTCTTCCCCGCCGCCCTCCGCAACCCAAGCCGCGTGTTTCTGCATCTCCCGGGAACTACCGCCAGGGGGCGGTGTTGGACAGCGCGGAGCCGCGCTCTGGGGCCGGAGGCGGCGAGGTCAGGACAGTCGACAGGAGAAGCTGGGACTGGAGGGAACGATGCAAAGAGGACGTGAGATGGAAGCCCAGGAGACCCTCAGGAGCTCCTGGGTCCGGCAAAAGCCGGGCCCGGTCCTGGGGTTTTCGGGCTTCAGCCTCCCGTCTTCGTTCGGAACTGTTGGGAAGGGGGACAAGAGGGGCGGCGTTGTGCCGGCTGCAGCGGAGGCGCCAGGGGGCGCCAGTCCGGCCTCCTGCGCTACTGGGCTAGGCGGCCGCCAGGTCCGCGAAGTCCTCCCGCCTAGGGTCCTGCGGTCCTGGACGGCGAGTCATAGATGTGCGGCCTCGGAAGCCGGAACCGGCAGCTGCGGCCGCCCGCTCTCCTTCCCTTCCCAGTTGGCGGGGAGAGGCGCCCGCCTCCCGGGGCTCCTGCTCTGCGCCCTGCGGCTGTTCCCCAGCGAGGGAGGGGGGAGGGGAGGGGCCCGCCCCGTACCCCCGCCCGTCCCTGGGCCCCTCCACGGCTCTCCCTTCGCGTTCCGTTCCCGAGAAGGACGTGGCCCATCCTCGAACTGGGCAGGGCAGGCCGCCCAGAGGCCTGAATGGCATCTAGGGCTGGATGTCCATATTAGCTCTGGACTCAGACACCTGTCAATGTCGGAGTAAGAGGGACACGATGGGGGCGGCGCGAAGGGAACCTTCAGGCGCCTGGAGAAGATACGTTAACAGCACCGACCCTTTCCTGGCCACGTTTTCGGGGTGTACTGGCCCCTCTGAACCGTGATCTCGCGTGGGGTCAAGTGGAAGGAGTTCCTCCTAGGCCTTTCGCAGGCTCAGACAACATGCACTTCTCTACCCGGCCTGAGGGGCGCGCCGAGGCGCTGCGCAGGGCACCGGGCGTCCAGCCGGTCCCTAGGAGGGCAGCATCGACTGAGCTGAGCTCCCTGGGGGGCTCCCGCCCTCTCTGTCTCTGTGAGTCCTGAGGCCGGATACAGCGAGCCTGTGGTGGGGAGGGGGCATCCCTGGCACCAGCCCTGACACCCCCTTTCCCAGTGAGCTGGGGAGACCTGCCTTTGGAGGCATCAAGACGCTAGCACTCCCTGCCGAGCTTCCCCCTAAAACTGGACTGCTTCCTCTCACCCCCGTAACTCAGTAAAGGCTTGGGCCACCTGGAAGCCGGGATCTGGGACGGCAGGAAAGAGAGAGAGGAAATGCAGACCGCAGGATCGGGGCCCGAAGCCCAAGTCAGAGGAGGTGTGCCCCTGGCTGCCCCCTCCACCCCGGTTCCTGAGGTGGGGCCGCTGCTCCCTCGGAAGCTGCTCAGCAGGCCCAAGGGGCCGGCGGCAAACGACAGGGCTTGGGCAGCACCCTGGTGGGGGGTGCAGGCTGGGACAGGACCGGCAAAAACCGTCCTAGGCCTGCACCCCTACCTAGTCTCTCCGGACACGGCGCGAGCCGCATAACCCTGGGCAGATGTGCAGCATTCTGTGACTCCACTGCGGCGTCCAAAAAAGGCAGCTGAGGGCGGGCGTGGAGAAGACGGGAGGGGGCCGCCGGCGCCCGGGTTTGGCAGGCGCCTCAATGGGCCGCAGGGGCTAGACCAGCGGCCTAATGGATTCAGGCCTGCGCCGCAGAGGGGCACCCGCCCGCCGCCCAGCTCTCAATAGCGGACAATGGAGTCCTGGGGTGACCCGAACAAAGAATTTGGAAGTAGTTAAACTGCAGAACACGTTCTGGGCCTGGGTGCCTCCTTTCAAGAAGAGCGCTGGGAGAAGAAAGGAAAGCCTGGAGGTGGGGGGGTGAGAAAATGCCCAGGGGAAAAGTTGGTAGGTCGCCCTGGTTGCCGCCAGCTACCAGACGCCAGGAATTCAATAGGATGGGGGGCGGGGGGCGGGGGCCAGTGTGGCCCAAGTCGCCTGACCACAGGGAGAGGCTGAGAAAGTTCTTCCAGAAATGACTGGGGTCGCCCCCCACCCTCCTCTCTCACCCCCCACTCCAGGCTTCCTCTCTGGGCCAGGCTCAAGAGCGGGGCTGCCCAAGGAGGCTCAGAGAAGCTTCTCCTCGGCTTTGGACACTAGAAGGGGGGCCAATGGGTGGACAGTAGTGGAGGAGCTGCTGGGCCTGCCCTGGGTCGCCAGCAGAGATTCTAAATGCACTCTCTCTGGGCCCAGCATCTGGCCCCCCAGGTCACTGGGGCTCCCTGGGGCTCCCCCCCGGATAGATCTCTCTCACACGTCTCCTGCTCTCTCTCAGGGCTTGTTTTTATTTTCCATTCTGGACAAACCCCTCCACTTCGCTCCTCCCCACACAACCAGCAATCTAGATTCTTTTAATGAGGATATTCTCTTTCTTTTAAAGTCGGGCTTCTAGGTGTAGACATTGAGGCCAATTTTTATTTTTAGCTCTTATATTTTTCGGAACTTTCTAAAAATCTTTACACCGAGCATAGTCGCAAAATGGGAGAAGGGGAAAACATTCAGAAAAGCAGTGAGTTGACACTGGTATCCAGCCAGTTTAGAAGAGGAGAAACGAGAGAGGTCACGGACACCAAAAGAGCAAATAAAATGACAGGAAAAAGCAGCTTAGGAAATGCGTTGCGGGGGGGTAGGGTAGGGAGACAAATCTCTTTCCTTATTCTAGAGCCTTCCTCAAGTTGTTTAGGAAAGAGAGAGGTAGGAAAGAAGAAAGGAGTCTTGGCGGCTACTGCGGCTGGGAGGCAATGACTCTGGGGTCAGAGCGCGCCCCAGTCAGCTGACTGCCTGCTGTGGGAGGCGCTCGGTTTGCAAGGGGTTAATAGCGTTGCTCGTGAACTTGGCCTGTCTGGCTGGCTTGTGATGGATGGTGAAACCCGCTGACAAGTTCAGCCGGAGGGACCTCCCCTGCTGTGGCGGCGGGAGAAACACACAGGCGGAGGGGACCCGGGCGAGAGGCTGGGGCGCACGGGGAAGACGGCGGCTACCTACAAGGCACGCTGCTCTACTTACCCTCTCGGCTCCCGCCTTCCACCTCCCCTCACTGCTTGCAGCCTACCCTGGAGCTTTCCGATACTAAACCGGAGCACCAAAGTTTACCGGGGCCTCGCGCTGGGTGCCTCAGAACCCCCTTTCAGCCTCTGCGGGCCACGCGGAGCAGTGGGGAGCCGGGCGTCGGGAGCCAGCCTCTCCAGAGGCCGAGTTCAGCATTTGGACAGCGGCTCCGAGGCGCAGTCGGCCCCGTGCTAGGAGTTTGCAGGTGCACAGCCAGGGAGGGTTGGGGAGGGAGACGGCGGTGGGTCTTGGAGAAGCCCAGCCTGGAGGGCACCCCCGGCTCCGAGTGGGACACGTTACACGGAGCTAAAATATCCCTATGGAGCTCGCATGGGGGCCCCGGGACCTGACAGCCCAGCGTAGATACCCTCAGCGTAACCAGCATTTGCATTGGGGAAGAGACAAAACGCCCCTTTTCAGCCCAGAGAGTAGACGCCCCCCATCTCCTCAGCTCTCCATTCTCCCCAAGGCAGCCAGGATCCCTGAGCTTAGAGCTGCCAGCGGGGTTCCAGCCGCTGCTCGCCACCACCTCCCAGGTTGCTGGTGGCTCTGGGTGACCTGGCAGCGCGGGGAGAAATGCAGGGCTCGAATGGCGCCGCGGTTCCCCGGGAAAAGCTGGAGGCAAGCGGGGAGGAGGAGGAGAGAAGCGCTGGGGCGCGGGGCTGGGCGCCCCCGGCAGCCTGCCTCCGCCCCCTCCACTCCGCACTGGTCCCGGCGAGGGGAGGGGGCGGGGGGAGCCGCGCTGACGTCACTGCGGGCCGTGCCCGCCCGAGAAGGCGGCGCTGGGAGCCGCTCGGAGCCCGGAGAAGCCGCGCGCCGCCGGGAGCCTCCGCACCATCGCCGCCGAGCCCGCCTTCCGCGGCTTTCAGCCGTGCGGCCGGCGGGGCAGGGCGCCTGGAGAGCGGCTGCAGCCCGGCCTGAGCCCGCGGACGCGTCTCATCAGGGACCTAAACCGCTGTCCTCGCAGCTGCCCCACCCCCGCCGATGCCTCGCGGGCCCCCGGCCACCTTCCCGGTCCGTAAGTGCCCCTGCCAGCTGTGTCTCAGTGAGGCCGGGGAGCGGGGTCTAGGGCGCGAGGGCGGTGGCCTCGGCTAGGGCAGCGTGCGGGAGCGGGTCTGGACTGGGAGGGGGCCAGGAGGCAGCCCCACTCGGCACCCTTGGGCTGCACGCGCGGCCCGGGGCTTCCCGTCGCCACCGGGCGGGGTAAGGGGTGCACTCTGACTGTGGGTGGAAGGCAGGGCTCAGCCTCTGGAGCCTGACCCATTATCTCCAGCACATCATCAAGGCCAAGGTCAAGGGTCGTGGGGTAGTGGAAAGTGAGGACTTAACGCAGAAAGAGGAGGGGCGCGGGCGGATGGAAGTTGTGGGATTGCAGACAGGTGGAGGCAGAAGGGAGGGAATGTTTCTGAAGTGAGGTTCCTAGGAGTCCGCGGACCGCCACCTTCCTCGCTTCTGCCCGATTCCCCTCTTTCTTCTCATCCCCTCCCCCACAAAAATAACCCGGAAAGTGGCTTCCTGAAAGAATATTTAAAGAAATAATGCAACACACAGCACCTATTCTAGACAAGATTTATGGAACCCTTTCTCCCCTCTGTAGTGGGAAGTTGTTGAGAAAGCCTTTCTGCTCTGATCCCACGTCTGTGCCCCAGAACAGGCCTCTTGGGTCTGTCTGAGGGTATCTCTGCAGCGTCTCTCAGCAAGGCTCCAGTGCGCTCGGGAGGAATGAGGGCAGCAGTAGAGGTTCAGGTGTGGTGAGGAGCTTCTCTGGGAGAAGGCTGTGTAGGGGTGTGTATGTGGGATGGGGGGGTGGTGTCCAGGCTGGCCCCCAACAGAGCAGGAAGGTAGCAGAAACTGGGAGAGATTCTGGGGTCAGACCATGGCAGCAGTGTCTAGGTCTTAATGACAGAGGAGAAGTTGAGGTGCTGGGGTGAGCCCCCTGCCCATAGTCTGGAGTAGGTGTATGCTTCAGCTATGGAGAAGGAGAGGATGGAGTTTGAGGGTCTGAGGTGGGCACCGAGAGAGGGTGTGCCATGCAATGTTCCACCACAGGAACTTCCATTATTAATGTCAGCTGCTGAAGACCCCAGGGGAGGGGTGCTGCTGTACCCAGTCCTTTTATGGAGGAGCCTGTGTTTCTGGGTTCCTGCCCAGTCTGGGCCTCCCTGAAGCCCACACCTAGGATGCCTAAGCCTCAGGTGAGGAAAGGGAGGCCAGATGTGGGAGCCATTGAGGGCACATGAAGGTGGGTGTGGATACCCCAGGGGCCCTGTGTGGAGGAAGTTGGGTCCACCTGGGCTAGTCCAGGGCTGGACTCCCAGACTCCAGACAATAGGAAGGGCAGATTAATCAAAGCTTGGGCCTGAGGAGGGAACAAGGGAAGGAGGGAGCAGTAGGGAAAAGGCACCCTGCACTTGGCCCAGGTTGTGACGGATGATACTGTTTCCTAATTAAGGCCCAGAGGGGCTATAGGGAAAAGCGTGCCAGTTCCAGGCTGACGTCAGATCAGAGCTGGAACCTGGGCACCTCCATCTGTCCCAGGTCCTGAGCCTCTGGATCAGAGCGAGTCTGGTTGCAGGATACCAGGTGTCTGCACAGAGCCGTTGGCTAGAGTCAGAACTGCCCACTCTCCTTCCATTTAATCCCTTAACTCCCTGTGTCTTGAAATGGGGTGGGGGAGGCACCTCTGAAAGTCGTCATGGCCCCTGCACTAAGTTGTGTAACAAACAGGAACTTGAACCAAAGCCAGCTTAGAGCCAAAGTAGCTGAGGTTGCCAATGGGTCCGGAGAGCTTATGTGTGCGGTGTCTGCCATCTGCTTCAGGTGGGCTCCTTGATGGGCACTTGGGCCAAGTGTGGGAGGGAGGGCTTTGCAGGTTGTGTGAATCTGAAGGGGTACAGGGCACAAGTGTTGTGGCTGCAACAGGAATGGGCATTTCTGTAGCACAGGTCAGGGAGGCCCTGGAACCTGTCTGTCTTTGGGGGAGCTTTGAAGATGAAAAATGGAGTCACTGGCTGTCAGTGGAGGGGCATCAGGAAAGGAAACCTCCTCTTGAGGAGAGACCTGCTGCTGAGGCTCTCTCTCTGGCTGCTGTCCTTTCCCTCGGTAACTTCTGACACCCCTGGAGCTCACGTTTGGGACTGTGAGGAGGAGGCCAAGGCAGTTCGGGGCAAAGGGAGCGTTGGAGAGAGGCTGGCTGGTGGCCCTCAGCACCATGGCCAGGGCCCGGTCACCACCATTGACACTTTGGTCTCTGCATCCAGCACTCAGCCAGACCTAGTACCTCAGGGGCTGTGCTGGAGCCTGTTGGCCAAGGCCAGGGGCTTGGCGTGGGATGAAGCACATAGCATCCAGACCCAGTGCAACGTGCAGCTGAGAGGGGCCAGAGCTTCTCCTCACTCAGGCTTGGAGTCAGCCTGCCCAACAACCTGCCACTCTCAGCTGGGGGTGCCCAGCCCACACAATGCGCCTCCACTCAGGCTCAACCTGGACTATTTCCTGGCCCTCAGTCTAAGCTGGGCACGGAGGCTGGCCACCAGCCCACGGAGACTACAGCCAGCCCTGACCCACCAGAGCAGCTTCCTTCCCACAGCTACACCCTGGGGGCCAGGTCTCACCATGGCCTTCTTCCTGGGAGCGCTGCTATGACGGCCGAGGCAGACGTGGATGCGTCGCTGATTCCAGGACAGCCCACTCGGGCAGGGTGTGGGAGCCACCCCAGCCAGCCTCACATGCTCCCCCCCCCGGGGACTCAGTTTCCCAAAAGGGTAGCAGAGATGCGGCCCTGATGACAGCGGTTTCCCGCATCTGAACTGAATCCAAATCAGGCTTTTAATTCTTTCTCCCAGAGCCCCCACCCGCCCTCAGCTTGCCAGTCGGGCCTCCGGCGCGGCTGTGTTACCGTGAGCCTCGCCGAGGAGCCATTTTGTGCAGCATCCTGCTTAAATCACACTCGGAGGGGCTCCTTCCCCGCTCTCTCTCCCCCTCGCTCCCTGTCCCCCCTCCCTCTCTCCCAGGTGAACCGTGCTTCTCCGCCCCTTCCCGCCTCCACAGCCCCACCCTTCCCACCCAGGGTGGCCCAGAGGACTAGGGGCTCAGGATGCCGCCCCCACACACACCAAGAAGGGGAGACAGTGCGGGTCACTGGAACTGCAGGAGGAGGGAAAGAAAGCAAGGGGCACCTCTCAATTATGATAATCCTTTGGAATTAACTATCTCTGGCCCAAATTCCATGGTTTCTTCCCCAGGACTGCTGCCAGCCTCTCTTTCGGTCTCTCCACTGTTGCTGCTCTGTCTGGCTCTTTTTGCCTTCTGGGAAAAGAGATGTGTGTGCAAAATGGGATTTGGAGGGAGATAATGTAAATGACAGGCCTGGTCTGGCACAAGCTGGCTGGGATGGAAGTGGGATGCAGGCTGCCTTGGATTTAGGGTTGGGATGAAAATAGGACAAACCTGAGAAAAGCATGAGGCAACAGGCACTTGATAAAACTGAGAACCCGACAAAATGGAGATGTGTCATTTTTAGGGAAGAATAGGGAGAAAGGGATATTTAGAAAAATCGTGAAATCCTTTCCAAGCCGTCCTCTTCCACCCTCTTCTTTGGAACCCACGCTGCGGGGATTTGCCTGGCTGGGAGTGGCTCAGCACCTCAGTCTGCTCTAAAATAGACACTTCTGGGTACCTTCACTCAAGGAGCTTCCCTGCATAGACTGCAGCCACAGGAGTCTCTAGGTGGTGAAAACCCGTGTATTGGACCTCCGAAATCCAGGAATCCACCCGCCTGTTCCACTTCTGAATCTCTCCCTAGCTCTTGGACTGAAATATTTTCTGGGGGCATCTTTCATTATCAGAGAGATTGCATTTTTCATATTTAATCCTTTGCTTCCCAGGGATGGCTGGCGGGGGAAGGTGAGTCCCAGCTCCCAAAGCTGAGGGTAGCCACAGCATCAAGGAGGAGAAGGTGATGGCTGGGGAAAGCAAAAAGGGGAGCCCCTGGGCCACGTACCTCTGGGAGACTGCACTGGGGCCTCCAGATCTGCTGTCAGGCTCCGATGGGAGTGATTCTGGGAGATCCAAGGTAGCAGCCCCTTGAGCCCGTTGAGCCACTTGCAGTGAGTGTGCCAGGTGTGTGCTGAGAGGCCTGTAGAAGGAGGGCCGAGGCATGGCTTTGTGCTTACGTTTTTCTGTGGAATGCTAATTTAACCAGCAGCCCAGTTCGGGCCTAGGACATCTTCAAGGGGCCGGGCACAATCGGTTGTACCTTCCTCAGCGTGCGGAGAGAGGAGGGACCCAGCAGCCTGGTACTGAGCGCCAGGGCCTCGCCCCAGTGTGGCGTGGCTCAGGGAACCTGTGCGCGCCAGGCCCTGTGGGTAGGGCATCGGTTCTAGCGCACCCCTCACGGTCTCTGCGCGCGGGCTGGGTCTATTTCAAGTCGCTGGGCATGGGAAGATGAAGGGGAAAGTTAAAGGTGAAACGGCTCCCACCCTCATCTCTCGGCCACCCAACTGCACACTTGCCCGCCTTGTAAAGAGACCTTCATGCCCCAGCACGTGCGTCCCCAAACCCCGTCGCGTTGCGGAGCCATCTAATTCTGATGGTCCAAGATTGCTGCCAGGTTTACTGGGAATTGGGGAAAGCAGAGGAGTTTGAGGGAAAGCCCAGATGGTGCACACACAGGGGCGCAGCCCTAACGCTTTTGAGGGCAGAGGGGGTGCTCCCCTGCCCTCTCGGAGAGAAAGCCCTGAACGCCGAGGCCAATGTAAGGCTGGGGGGTGCGGAGCGCGGGAAGGGGGCTGGGATTTGAATGCGAGCCTATGATTGGCCGGTCCCTGGACTGACGTCACTTCCCCGCGGGGCGATTAGCCTGCGAGAGGAGGGCTGGCGGTCCAGTGCGCTGGGAGCGGGCAAGGCGCCCGAGGCAGAGGGAGCGCGCTGCGCGGTGCCCTCGGTGCGCCCCGGGATGCCGTCGGAGCAGGCTGCAGGCACCGGCACCCGGACGCACGGAACGGGGAGCCGGC